ATATATATATATATATATATATATATAATATATATATATAATATATATATATATGTTGGTTGACACCTACAGGACTTTGAAAGGTCTATTACAAAACTTGGCGTGTTTTAGGTTTTCTTTTCCACGTTAATTATGTTTCGTTGCTTTTTAAAAATTTATGTTGGAAACAGATTATGAAATCTTCTCGTCAGCTTAGTAATATTGTTTTTTTAAGCGACTACCAGTAACGCCTTTTATTTGTCGGTATTTGTAGCTTTGTTTCAGCAGAAATTTTTTAGGTTAGTAGTGAACTTTTGTCTGTTTTTGCTCTTTTCACTTTTCACCTGTACTTGGGCTGAGGCTTCTTTATCTTTGTTTCTTTATTCTTCTTGTCGCCCATGCTGATGTTTGGTTCCGTTTGGCTTTCAAAAAATTTTTCTTTTTCGTTTTATAGTCAGGTTTGGAAGAGTCTTTCGGTTCAAGAAGAAGAGAGTAGAGCTATTCTGCTTCATTATATTAATACAGTTTGATTGTTTCTCATTACTTGTCTGGAAATATTGATATATTAATGGAAGGCCTGTTTCTAACTTGTTGTTGTTTTGTCGAAATTGCTTGAATGTTTTTGTTAGCGTTGCTATTCGCAATGTATAGAAATTATAGGCTTATCGTTGAAACTTCAAAGTTTAACTCTTTCTCTTTTTAATTCATGGTGAAATGCATCACGCGCGGATGAGTGCCCCAGCGGGTTCAATTCCGTCGTTAAGAACTCCAAAACTGCCATGTAAGTTTGTTGGGCGCAGATTATTTAGCACTTCACCTTATTTGATTTTTTAAATGTTTTTCTCGATAAAAGGATTGTATACTATCTGTTTTCAGCAGCTGTTGACGAGCAGCTTTCTCCCCAAGCGAGACGTTTAGAAGTGGTATCCAAACAAGCAACCAAGGTAACAGCGATATCCACGAGGCTGGAATGGCGAATAGATCAGGTAGAAGAGTCTGCTCAAAAATTTGCTTTTAGAGGGGAAATCGCATGTGGAGTCTGTAGTAATCTTCTCTGAAAAACTGAAATTTTTTCATCACTTTCTTTTCAATGAATTGTGTGCGCTAACAACCTTGTACATTCATGTCGCTTATTTCAGTTTGAAAAGCTTATGAAACTATTCAAAAATAGTTATAATTTGATATCTAAACAATTTGGTTGCCCTCAAGCTCCGACTGTTACTTGGGAACTTCATGTCTATCCGAATGGAAAGCGGGAAGAAGATGTAGGCAATGTTTCTTTTTTCCTCCGTCAAGTAGGATTGCAGGTAAGCTTTCGTTGCTTAAATGCAAGTGTTTTTTGGAATATTTTTATGTTTCTTTTATTCTAAGTTCTGCTGTGTGTATTTTGCTTATTGCTCATCTTCAAAGAAGCATAACAATTTAGCGAGGCGAAGATCCAATTATGACCGAATTTCAAATTTATGCTCTAGATGCTAATTCTTTGCGCGTTAGCGTTTGTCGAGATACTAAGGACTTTACAAATCAGCAAGGTAGAGGGAAGTTCCAGGTGTGTTATTTTTTCTCCGGTCATACTTTTCTAAAAATATGCTCTTAAACCTTTCGTTTCACGGACGAGAAACATCAGAGTTTACCTTGTTGTTCTGGAAATATTCGGCTGTTATGTCTGTTGCATTTAAGAGTTGCTCTTTTAAATTCCCTTTCAAACTTGTTTTTAGTCCGAGATTTTGGAGTAATGTTGAGTGTTTAATGGTACTGTTTTAGTTCATAAATATTTATCTTCCTTTTCACTCTTATACTTTCCAAACTGCTTTGAAGTCTATGCTGGGTATTTTTTTTGCAGGTAGCACGTGATAAAATGATGGCAGCATTGAAAGCTGACGGGTCTTTACTTCTCATTTGTGAAGTTGAGTATTTTCCACCGGGTTCAAAAATAAGTGTTGAACAGGCAATTGAGCCCGAAATTTCCGATGATTTTGAAGAGAAAAGCGAACTTTCTATTCGGGAATCGTTAAAGGAGATGCTAGATAATGAACTGTTTGCGGATTGCACTATCAAGGCTTGTTTAAATCTCTCGTTATGCTAGCACTTTTCTCAGTTTTTCAATGCCAAAACATGTTTAGGTAGGGAATAAGAGTCTTAAAGCGCATAGGTGTATTCTCGGTCAACATAGTGAGGTGTTTCGCTCTATGTTTGCTCAGGAGTCTATGTTAGAAGCACAAAAAGGAGTTATTGATATTCAAGATTGCCGATTCGAACCGGTGCGTGATTTTTTAATTTGATATTCCTATCTTAATTGGCATTAATCTATTTTTTTCGTACTTTCTTGCAACTTTATTTCAGGTTCGAGCGATGGTGGATTATATCTATACCGGTAGTACGGAATTAGTGGAAGGGTATGCGGAAGATGTATTAGCTATTGCTGACAAATACGCTATATTACCTTTAAAGGAGCAGTGCGAGCGGTATCTTTCCACGACTATCAACTGTAAAAATGTTGCGTCTACTGCTGTTTTTGCAGATACATATTCAGCTTCAATATTAAAGCAGGTGGAGTTTTTAAGTAGTTGTCGCTTTCTCTCTTCAACCGCAGGAATAGTTTATGCCAAATTGATCGCTGTTTTGTAACTCTTTATGTGATTAAATTTCTAGCTAGCTAGCTAGCAATGAGGTGTTTTTACAAGTTGTTTGTGTTCAGGCGTGTATAAGTTTTATGGTACTGCACCACCGGGACGTTTTACGTACAGCAGAATGGAAACAAATGAAGAGAGAACGATCAGAATTAGCGAACGAATTGTTGGAATCTGTATTGGCCGGTGAAGGACCATCAAGTGCTAACGATTTTTCATTTAGTAGCAGCGAGGAAAGTCGGACACCGACGAGTAGTATTGATCCGGCTCGACCACAAATGCGAAAGCGAGTTAGGCGCGTGCGATAAGTGGTGCTGCTTGTATTTCGTTTGGAACTAATCAAAATTTGTAAGAATTTATGGTTTGTTTTATTGTTTCCGAGTAATTTAGCGGGTTTGGTATGTGTAAAGGCATTCATCATTATAGATACTCGTTCTTGCTTAGTATGGTGAGACGAACGATATTATTAGAGTATTTAGAATGCATTGCAGTATTGGTCTCTTGGTTTGTTCATACAAAAAAAGAGAAAGATGTTTTCAGTTCTCTCAAAAGTTTTGGTTTTTGTCATTCATTTAGTCGACTAAGTGTTATAAAGTAGTTGGGGGTGGTAAGAAGGTCATGTTGGTGTTTGTTTCGCAAGCCATTGGGTAATGGCTGTGTCTTTAATTTAAGCATCCAGATAGTCTTTTGTTTTATTTTATTCGCTTTTATTTGTAAGTAGCAAATGAACCTAATTTTAGCAAGATTTTCATTTTTTCCGATGAAGTATCCAAAATTAAGCTTTTTTTTGACTCACTGAGCTTTGATTTGTTACAGACAAAAAGCTCTTTCAATTGCTGTGTTCTCCCTCGTTCAGTTTTTGAATGTCTCCAGTTTTTCATGATCAGTTGTTGCCCGAGAAATTTTTGTTTTTCATTAATATTTGTTATAGCCTTTGAGAGCTTATTTCGCAGTTTTATTGCCGAATTGAAGGAGTAGGGGTTATTAGTTTGCAGTTTCAATCAATGTCTTTCATGGTCTTGATTTTCTAGACATTAATTTTTTTCAAGACGTTCATTTCCATCTGTACCAACTTACTTATTTTCCATATTTTTTTTTATCAAAATCATATTTTCTATTTGTGGTCTTTATTCCATGCCAGCATAATTAATACGAGGAAAGTTGTACATAAAATACATTGCTATTCCGTTGTATAATGAAAATTTTATTGTTATTTCAAGCCATTGCTACTACTTTTTTTTCAAATGTAAATTCCGTGAGGCACTTGTTTTAAGAAGATATTTCTCAGCATCTGTGAGAGTGTTGCAGTTTCCTGTTCTGATGAATATTTTTGTTTAACCAATTTTTTGAGCGTTTTTGTTCCTAAACTTCTACTGAATAAAGTTGTTTGTCTTTCGGAACCTTACTTCAGGAAGGTTAGTGAGTCTTCAGATGTTCTACATATTTTCACTTCATTTTTAGTTGTGTTAGAATTTTATAAATTCTGTAGCTAATATCTTAGCTTATGGGACTTTGCCGGTCGAGTCAAAGTTCTGTCCCGGAGTTGAGTTAATGATGTTATTATGCTAACAAAATTTAGAATTAAATTATTATGAGTGGAAAGGTGACGGAGAAATGGAAAGTATTTTGCATGACTTTCAATGTCAATGGAAAAAGGGCAGCTACAGAACCAGTTGAAGGTCTGTTAAATGATGAAGGCTTTGCAGTGGCGGATATTGTAGTCATCGGATTACAGGTCTTACATGTTGCGGGTTTTGATTGAGGTTTTGGTGGGAATGAGGTTAAAGGCCTCAATCCCATAATATATACTCTTAGCAAGCCCCGGGGTAGTCTCGCTTTTGCTTGGTGGTTATTAAAGCAGTTACTTTAGGAGGTTGCTCATTCTGAATTATTTGGGAACTTTCTTTATGACATATCGTGGACTTCTGTGATTTGCTCGTGGATGTATGCCAATAATAAAGTACTATTGTACAAAACATCTTTGGCAACCAATCTACTTCTGGTGTTTGTTCGGGAAGAGGTTCTTATGGCTGTGGAAAAAGTTGATGCTCGTTTTTCTAAAGCGACGTTGAATGGTCTAACTGGACACAAAGGGAGTATCTCAATTAGGACGAAGCTTAAGGTCTCATTCAGCTTTATTAATTGAAGCAGCAGTGTAATATCAGGCTTTACAGCTTTTATAGTTGCAGAGTGGTGATGCCATTGTTTTTATTTCCTCACACTTGGTCCCCCATGCTGAAGGCTATAAGAAGCGCTGTTTACAGTTTGAAAACAGTAGAATCTGTACTTTTGAAGACGAGCAGTCAGCCTCAACTTCGTACTCTACAATATGGCTGGGGGATATGAATTGGAGGATAGATTCTTTAAGTCCTTTGGAGATGGAGGGGTAAGTTTTATGATAGAGCTGGCAAAGCGATAAAGTTTTTGCTTTTTTCACTATGAGTATCTGAGATCGCGTTTATTACGTTTTAAGCTTTGTTCAGTTACAAGGCGATAGTTATTTCTAGTCGAGGAGCGTGGCTTTAATTATTAAATTAGTCTTTAGAAGCAATAAAGATTTGCGTGTGCTTCGTTGCGTTTGGGGATACACGTTTTGCTTGGCTAAGGGCATTAGTCTAACTCGCTTACTTATCGATGGCTTTTGATGCTTGACTACCTTTTTTGGGAAACGGAGTAGGATGTGTTCAGTCCTTTAATTTTACAGCTTCTAATAATAATGGTGCTTTATCGTAGGAAGCTGAAGGAAATAGTGGATAGTACTAGTACAGAAACGTTCGTTGAATCATTTGATCAGTTAAGAAGGGCTAAAAAAAACAAAGAAGCTTTCACCGAATTTGCTGAGCCACCAGTCTTTTTCAACCCTACATACCGTTTAATGGTTTGTTTATGAAGAATTCCTTCTATTCGTTGCGTTGTTCTTTTTAATAAAGAATTGTTTTTTGTGGTTAGAGGATCACTTTAACGATTTTCTATAAGTTAGAATCTTCCAGTATTTCGCTGAAAGACGCCTAGTTTAGGTCGGGACTGGAGACTATGATTTATTAAGGGTGCCCTCATGGTGCGACCGAATACTTTCTAAGGGATGCTCCTTGCTTTGTGAAGCATATAGATCGAATGAAAATGTGACTTTGTCCGACCATTTCCCTGTTGTTGCAATATACTCGTATGCCCCTTCGGTCAGTTGTTTTGAGTGGGATGTTTCTTTTGAAGAGGTTCCGAAATGGTCTAGCTTTGTGCCAATGATTTGTCGTTTTTCAATATTTGATAATTTTTGGTATCGCGAAGGAGCTTATCGAGATTGGGTAGGTGTCTATCTAGACAAAATAATGGATCCACTGTATCCAAAACACTGGGTTTATTGCTTTTCTTGTTACAAAATGAATGATGCAGATAATTCTCCTTTTGTCGCCGAATTTCCTTGTCTGTCACCCGGAAGATATCGATTTGGGTACTACAGTGTCAAGCGAAACGCTCTTCAAGGCATCTCTTCTCCATTTGTTGTTGTCTAGTCACGATTTGCTTAAACTAGTTGTTTAAATGGAAGTCTGTATCTTAGTTTGTTCACCTTTAATAGTGTGAGACACTGTTGTTTACGCTACTAGTGATTGGCTTCACAGTGGGTAATGCAGTAGATGGGTGAACGAACTTAAGGAGTTAACTGGTAGGAAGATGACTGCGGGCTTTTAGTCGGTAAGCTGTTTTGCAGAATATTAATTTCACAGCCTTCCAGATAACTTTGTGTCACTTTATTTTTCCTATCATAGGTCCGTACGAGCAGGAAAGGCAATAGTTGTGCATTTCTTTCCTACTGGTATTGAAAGAGTCATCTAATTTTTTTTTGCCAAAAATGCTTCTTATTGTTTGCTGCTCCAGTACTTTTGCAATTTTGATGTCTTTGTGACCTTGCTATCCTATTTGTAAATTTGGTACAACTTTGGTGTTTGATCTGAAGTTCCACGCTACTCATGCTTGAGTTTCATTTACAGAATTAATGTTTTCAGCGATCTTTTTAGCTGGTAGTGTGAGCCTTCTTCACTTATGGTGTTGAAGTAGTGTGCAGGCTCTGTAGAAGGAATTAATAAATGATTTTGAAACAGGAATGGTCAAGTAGGAAAAACCCTGAGTCAAGTGGAAAGCAATTTTCGTTAGGTGAAATTTGTCAAGAGCAGTTGGAAAATGTTTTCACTGCGACGTAACAGTTTGTGTACTTCAAGACGGTCTCGAAGCGGATACAAATCTGCTCCCAGTTAGGCTGTTGAGGTTATACCTGTTCTAACTGACAAGGGTAAATGTCATACCAGTTTTGCCGGAAGACGAAGATTTCATTTAAAGTCAGTTTCTAGTTGCAAATTAGGTAAATTTCGGTACAGAATAAGATATCACGGGAAGAATTACTTTTAGAGTAAGTAAATTAATTTGAAGTGTGGGAAAGGAGGTGAGAAAGTCTGCTCCGCAGATTTAAGCGTTTGCAAGTCCATGATGAGTGTGGAAGATTTGGAGCATTTGTGAACTCAAAAATCCAAAAGAGCGAGTTAAAGACAAGAGGAATCAACTTTTTTAATGCACAAGTTGAAATGAAACTTTTCGCAGTGGATGTAAAGATTTTTGAGACGACTGTTGAGTCCCGTGTCGTCTGGTTTTTTTTGGGAGGAGCCCTCCGTTTTGACGCAGAGGAGTAGAGCCATCTTTGCCTGCTACAACCTCTAACGTAAGCACTACAAAATATCTTTATCCCTTTTTCAGGCCTCTTCTCGTTTATCTGTCTGCGTAAAAGAGTTTGGACTTTTTGACAGCTTCCTTTTATTAAAACAGAAATACGTTATAAACGCCTTCCAAGTGGAAGATCCAAAAACATTACTTTCGGATGTGAGGATAAGTAGGCAACTTCTGCGTTTCAGAGAATGAGAAGAGAGTAAAAGGCAGAATTGAAGTGGCTGTAGAGAAAGAAATTCCAACGTGGAAAAATGTGAAAATTTTATCACCTGCAGTGTTGCGGTCACATACAGAGCAAGTTCTTAAATTTTGAAATTGGTCATCTTTTGGTAACTGAAGATTATCAACGAATCAGTCCAAAAATAACTTGTGAAAAAAACAAAAAATAAACAGTAGGAATACAAGTTCTTCGCGAGTCTAAATTTTGATAATTTATGAAACTTGGCAACGAGATTTCACTGGAGAGTGGAGGGCGATGGAAACAAGATCTTAATTATGCCTAACACTTATGCTTCTTAAAGACGGCAGGTACAACGCTTTGCTTCAGAAAAGCTTACGAAGGACGGTGTATTAATTTCTAAATATAAGGCACAAACTGTCGTACATGCCTTAACAAGTAGCAACACTTAAACATCATTCTTCGCTTTCTGCGGATTCACTCATTTAAGGCATTTCCAGCATACATCAACCGTCAAAGAAATCTGTTTTTTACTCTTTCGTGCTTTCCGTTCTCTTTCACTGACTGATTTCCCTCAAATCTCAAGTTCATTACCGCAGTCCGCAGAATCATCGCGCCCTTTAACCTGATGCTTTAGTAACTAGCTACCCGTAATTTTTTTTTTAGTTTTTGGAGAGATCTTTAATAATCGTTGTATATGTAACTGGCAAAGACAATTTAAATTACAGGCTAGAGACGCTTTGCAAAGATAATTAGGATTACAGTTGGTTTATGCGCAAATTGCTTACAGTCTTTTTTCTTTTCTCGCGGTATAATAGTTTGTTTAATGAACAAATAAATTCCTCAGTATTCTGAAACAAAATAAAACAAAAATATGTTGTATCTGAAAGAGCAGTGCCGTAAGAAATAAGACTACCGTAGGCTGACAAGGCGTAAAAAACGTAACCCGAATGAACACTTGCCTATCAAAGCCCTTGCAGTTTCCCTGACTTCCCCAGCTTCTAAATACGATATACTTAAAAGAACTTTTTGGTCTAGTAACAAAAAAATTTTCGGAACCACTGAGAAACAAGAAACACATCTCCGGATCATTGGCGCTACAAGCAGCAGATTTTGTCCGGAAAACATTACCTATTAAGAAACGCGAGGTTTATAAAACAGGATAAAAAGCACTATAGCAAATTTCTTCAAAGATTAAGGACCAGTGACAGCGCCATAAAAGACCACCTTCCTGAAACCTTTCCTAAAACTACATATTCTTCGATTTCCAATCCCAGACTAAGATTCTAGTCTTTTTTGGATGAGATTGCAACTTTGCAACGACAAATATAATAGGAACTTCAAACTTCTGTCGCTCCTCTTTGACTGGGCTAACGCACTCCCAACACCGCGTATTTTTCCACTAATATTAAATTTACCAAACAAATCATCTGTCAAATATGTGCAAGAAATCACTTCATAAGACCCCCCCTCCCCGACTTTGCACTTCCTGATCGGCTCTCGTAAAAATCATATGCAAGTGACATTTTAAAGCAGTACACAGATAAAATTATTCATATATTCAGGGAGAGAATGTCTGAAAGTGCTCTTAAGGAGAAAACTGGAACAGTTACTAGTTGTCTAGAAAAGACATACTCCAGTTCCAACTGTAACTTTATTCCCAGGTCATATCTGATGCTTTCAGCAACAAGACAACGGACAACATTACAACTTTTCTAAATTCAAAATTACACTCGAGAGTGGCAGGGCAGACCAGCTAAATCATAGACGGCAATTAACTGGTTTAAAAAAACACTTTTATACACTCAAAGAGACCTCTACAATAGTATAAACACCCTAACAACTTATAAGCAATTTTCAAAAACGGTAGACAAAAGAAAAACCGAGACACAGAACATATTTTGAATTCTTTCCAGGTATCGTGATAAATTTTGAATTGAAAATAATGCAGTATTTTCATGTTTGGTATAAGTGACTATCAGTTATTTTAACTAAACTATTTGGTGACAATATTGTCAACTACGACTGAAAGGAAAACAGAGCATACCAATCTAGATACTGAAAAACACCAAACGTAGATTGCAAGTGACATCAGCTGTAAGAATTAAAAAGTAATCTTAAAGAAACGCCCATCAGTTTGAATAAAGTTACTGCCCGCTTCGGTTCCAAATTATTAAGATCTCTGCTCCAAAAAGGTTGAGTAAATGTCGAAATTTCGGAACTAAAAAGGATAATGTGAAAGATTGATTAGAATCCCCGTATCATAGATTTGTTAGCCTAATAAAAATAGAAGAAATTGTTGGCCTAAAACACAATGAAA